ATTGAGTCTCAGTAGCCTGAGAGTCACCCATACGCCACGAAGGCCTTGGTCCCTCACTCTTTATCCTCTGTCTCTTCATCTCAGAAAGCTAATTTCATTAAAACATGTCATGTAGCTATTTATCATCGAGCCTAATGAACGACTACCATTTCTCCTTCAACGGGCTGGTAAGCAAATGTCAGTCAAACCATCCTCGCACACTGGGAATCATTACACACCGCAAATCGAGTTCCTACAAATAAAAGATATAGCGGCATGATTGTCAGCACAGTTGTTGGGAAGAGGACAAGTTTAGGACTGACCTGTGTCCAAGCAGAAGGAGGCTGCTCATGGAGAAATAGGTACGCCTGGGATAAAGAATTTCAGTTCGCGTGAAACTCGAAGCTCTTCAATGACTCTTACACTCGCAATATCCTCTGGTTTGAGACGTTCTCCTGGATTCGCCCCACCTCCCATCATGCTTTTAACGCGCTCGGTCTCGATCTGACCTAAAGGACAAGAAATTGTATAAATATGATCCAACGGGTTTATTTAGGCCATACCGTCGATTATGGCATGGGCCACATGTATTCCTTTGGGTTGGAACTCCCTCGCAAGGGATTGACTATGGGATGGTCAGTTGGGAGATGGAGTATATGCACTGATGAATTCCGACCTTAAAGCCCTAATGGCAAAACTGGGGCTGGCAATTGCCGAGAACTTGGCACTCCCCCTCATTGCAGCTGTCGCACCGCTAAAGATGAGCGTACCACCATGGCCACCGGTATCCATCTCTCCAATTACCTCTTGAGAGAAACTGAATGCTGCACTAGTCATATTAGTCAGGTTCCCCATATGCCTAGCGAGGCGTGGTCGCCTCAATCCCCGACCGTCGCCAGTTGCCCCTTTAAAGGAAACCCACTTCGCCGTCAGTAAAGTGGCCTTCACGCAGCTGTCTCGTTGGGCGAGCAGCTGATATCGCGAAGGCGAACGAGATGCGGGCGGCGCAAAGCGCGCATAAGTTCACTGGACGAAATATCTTTCGGCCTGGGGACACAGCAGATTCGTATGTTCAATCACCGCAGTCCCTATCGTGTATTCAATTTCTTACATGCATACGTTCGAACTCATGAATCTACATATAATTGACTGGGATCCATCGCAAAATTTGAAGTGTTACAGGGAATAGCGACCAAGCGGGGCCTACAATGCGGCATAAGGGGAGGCAAGATGTGCAGTGACTTCGGGAAAGCGCACGACCCAGGTGAAGGGGACACAGTTCAGTAGAAGGACAGACGGTTTCATTGGTATCGGCGTTACATAAGGACAAATTGTCAAAGTTTGCGAGGGGTACAGCGGTGTTTTGAGAAGGCAGCAGGAGGGATAAAACACCTCCACGGTGCACGGAAGGAGAACCTAAGGAAGCATCAAATAAGAGAATTAAAAAAATTGGCGTTAATAAAACTTACAAGTCCCCTACACAAGCACTAGTCCCAAACGCGGTCAGAAACCTGAATTGTACAAGTATTACGGTTCTGTAGGATTGGGTGCGACGACTTCACAAGCCATTCCTAAATCTCAATCGTCTAAACGCCACAAGTACGGTTCAGCCTTGCAGGGAGATTTGACTTTGGAGGAGAGACGGCGACGAGATTCGCATCAACAAAATCCCTCGATGTCAATCCCAAACTTTCCTTCCAGCTCGTGTTCGACGACAGGTTCGAGCCAGGACGAGGCTCCGGTTCCCCCGCAACCACACAAGAAGAGACAGAGGATAAAGAGTGAGGGACCAAGGCCTTCGTGGCGTATGGGTGACTCTCAGGCTACTGAGACTCAATCCCAAGTCTCGATTGCGCGGTTGGGACCCGTCGAGTCGAAGGAAGAACGAGGGCGTAAGAAGGAGAAGAAAGGATTCTTGGACCGCATCCGTTCACGATCGATTTCACTGACCGAGAGCTTTATCCAGGCGATTCAGTACCCGGGCTATCTGTTGAAGGATAAGCAGGAGAGGAGGCAGAGCAAACAGCAACTCCCCTCATCCAACGGCGCGAATAGCTCTGACATCCTTGCTACCTCTGCTACCGGCCATTTGTTCACGTATACTCCTTCTAACTCGACTACAACAACTACGGGCATCACCGCTTCCCCCGTCTCCTCCAGTAGTCACCAGCAGCACTATCCGCCGAACCATCACGGCCACGGCAGCAGTAATCACGGACACAACCAGTCACACCGGCGGTTGAACGAGTTTTCGGATGAAGACGCTGTTCAGCGTGAAGAGTACCGGGCGAGTCCGATGACCAAGGCCAAAGAGATAGTGCTCGCGCAGTGGGAGGACGTTGATCTCCCTCGCCGCGGCCACGGCAGCAGCAATCACGGACACAACCAATCACATCGGCGATTGAACGAGTTTTCGGATGAAGACGCTGTTTAGCGTGAAGAGTACGAGGCGAGTCCGATGACCAAGGCCAAAGAGATAGTGCTTTCGCAGTGGGAGGACGTTGATCTCCCTCGCCGACAGGGTGGCGTACCGCACGCGGAAATCATGATCAGTCAAATCCGGTCCAACCCATATCCGCCTATATCCATACCATTTGCAAAAGAGGGTCCCAGGCGAAGGTGAAAACGGCGTGTGTGGTGGAGTTGGAATGACAAGGTTAGAGTGAGCAGCGCAGAATCTTCCTTTTCCCCGTTTCTTTTTTCCCCTTTTTATTCCATCGCGTGGCATTGCGTCTCCTTCCTCACTTGTTTTTTATGTCCCCCTTTTCTGGCACTCTCCACTCATCAAATCAAACGACTCTCTGTTTCATGGGACCAATCCATGTAATAAAATGGCCCCGTAACTCTATCTTCTCTTTTTCTCCCCCTCTCCCCTGCTATTTCTTGCACGAACCAATCCGCGATACCAGTCGAGTGGTGCAGTGCTTTTACAGGCTTGCCAGCTCCCGGTTAGCGACGGTATGTTCTTTTCTCTCTCACTCTGGCCATTTGTATACTTGCGTTGTCTTTCACCAGCCAAAAACTACACACTCTCTCACCATGTCCAGCGCTCTGCTTCCGGGTACTTGTAAGTTTTATTAACGCCAATTTTTTTAATTCTCTTATTTGATGCTTCCTTAGGTTCTCCTTCCGTGCACCGT